AAACAACTAAGAATCTCTTACACCATCTTCAAACGTGGGGAAAGTGAGCTTTGCAGGGACCAGCTAAACTAACTGGACTTTTCGTCCGCTCTGACCAGCCACACCACAACGCTTGTGTTTGTTTGTCTTAACAATCCATGTAATGGGGAGGGAGAAAAAGGCAGGCTCTCACACCAAAGAAAAGAAAAAGGAAGGAACATCAGTATGAATCTAAAAAGAAAAAAAAAGCTTCCGTGGGTGTGGGGGACAAAACCAAGAGGAAGCAACAGGGGCTGGCCTTAAATAACAACCCACAAGTTTTTTGTGGCCTATCCCCTGGGGTCAGATTTTAACCCAAAGGAGGAAAAAGTTAAAATTATGCGTGCCTAATGCCAGCTACAAATGTTCTTCTCTGCCTGTCTCCAAAATGCATAGAAAGATGGTTAAAGATAGTTTCAACGTAATAAAATCAGCCTTAGCCCCCCCGCCACCCTGAAACGACCTGAAAGTTTAAAAGTGGCAGCAGGGGAAGGAAAACAGTCTTTACGGTTTGCAAAATCTAAGCAGCTCCTAGTGTCGCTTGGCACCTCCACCCAAGCTCTGCATTAATTCTGATGTTCTTATAGCATTTCTGTCTCTCTGCCCCCCCCTTTTCAGTACACTCACCTGGACTCAGGAATTATCCAGTTTCAGCCCCGCCCACTCAGTTCCCCAGAGTGCCTCCAATGCCCACAGGAAATAAATGCTATTGGCCTTCCCAGCTGTTACTCAAAGACTGAAAGTCACAGCCTCCCATTCCTTCTGCCACCTACGCCTATTAAAGGGACAGGAACAGGCACAGAGTAAAACTAGAAAATTCTAGGGAAAAGTTCGTTGTTTTATCAGAATCCTACCTTGGTCAGATCAAAGCACGAGAAGAAGTGGGGAAAATTTGCTAAAGCATTGCTATTTTTAAGCTCCGGGTTCAATATTTTGTTTTCATCTTTGATTTTTGTATTATTCAGCTGGAATCTGTAATACATTCTTTTTCGTTGTTGTTATTTCTGATTTAAATGCACTTTTGTTTTATTTACAAGTGTGTTTATCGTCACCACTTCAGAATCCATTCCCCGGAAAAGTAGGATGGAAGAAACACTGAACTATTACTGAACTAAATCAGTCAAAGCCACTCAACTTACAATTTTAACAGTTTTAGGAAATGGAAAGGGGAAAGGACAATGAAGGACAGGGATGGATTTCTTTTTCAGTTGCAGCTTCAGGTCTTCTGAAAACTAGATGAATTATAGGAATATATAATTTATGTATTCAATTTGTATAGCCACCCATCTCACATAGAGGCTAAAAGATACGTAAAACGGTTGCAGGAATTAGGTATGTCTAGACTAGTGAAAAGAAGAACCAGGAGTGACATGATAGCAGTATTCCAATATCTCAGGGATTGATTGATTGATTGATTTAGTCAATTTCTTACAAGATAATAGGTATAAGTAAAAACATAGTTATGAATACATGGATACATATAAGAAAAATTAAAAAATATATAAAAGAAACAATAGGACAGGGACGGTAGGCATGATTACCCCCTACAGACTTCTTAGGAAAGGGGTGAGGTCAATAGTAGACAGTCTAAGGTTAAAGTTTTGGGGGGTTTGGGAAAGAAACCACAGAGTCAGGTAGAGTGTTCCAGACATTGACCACTCTGTCTGAAGTTGTATTTCAGAAGACTGCTACAAAGAAGAGGGAGTCAAGCTATTCTCCAAAGCACCTGAAGGTAGGACAAGAAGCAATGGGTGGAAACTAATCAAGGAGAGAAGCAACCTAGAACTGAGAAGAAATTTCCTGGCGGGGAGAACAATTAACCAATGAAACAGCTTGCCTTCAGAAGTTGTGGGTGCTCCGTCACTGGAGGCTTTTAAGAAGAAACTGGAAGATACTTGTCTGGAATGGTATAGGGCAGTGGTGACTAACCTTTTTGGGCTCCTGTGCCCAAAATTGTGTGCGTCTGGTGCTCGTGCACTTGTGTGCCAGCACCCAGAAGGCAATGTGCACCCCCCTGCCCCCTGCACATGTGTGCACAATCCCCCCGCCCCCCCCCTTACATGCACTGCGCCTCACAGCTGATTTTCAGCTGGTTTGAGGCCTTTTTCGGCCTTTCAGAGGCTTGAGTATACAGGAAGTGATGAAATGGGCCTCTGGCCTGCAGACGCTTTTTTCAAGCCTCTAGAAGGCCAAAAAAGGCCTCAAACCAGCCAAAAATCAGCTGTGAGGCACATGCATGTGCAGTGACGTAAGTTTGCCTGTGGCTTGCATAAATGGCTCTGCATGCCACCTGGGGCACGCATGCCATAGGTTCGCCATTATGGGTATAGGATCTCCTGCTTGAGCAAGGGGTTGGACTAGAAGACCTCCAAGGTTCCTTCCAACACTGTTCTGTTATTAATAGTGAAATGTGGCTCTGAGAAGCTCATCGTGATTAAAAACAATAGTGAGAACAATACAAATATAAATAAATAAAAACATATAACTCTATTAAAACTACTATTAAACACAAAACATAAGCACAGTTAGCAGGCAATTACAAGCAATAGAACCCATTTAATATAATCATGTCTGACCACTATCACCAGACCCCAAGTGCCATATAGCACAGCCATGTTTTCAGGCCCTTCTTAAAGCCCAAAAGGATAGAAACCAATCTAAGTTCTGGGGATGAATGATGTTCCAAAGGAGGGGTGCCACAGCAGAACAAGGTCCTTCTTGGGCTTCATCAAATGATATTCCTTACTAGACAATATCCCTAACACACCTCTCCCGTTGGATCTGATGGAATGGTCCTATCTTCCTACCATACAAGGCTGTTGTGAAGGCATCATCATGAATTCCAGCCAAATCTGGACAAATAGGCAAGATTTAACAGATAATCAGAGTTGGAAGGAACCTTGTAGGTCATCTAGTCCAACCCTCCGCCCAAGCAGAAGGATTCCATGTTTGAAAAAAAAAGAGAAGGTACAGAACCAGTCTTTTCTGGATCAAAAAATTCTTGAGTTTTTTTTAATATCCTAAACCAAAGATGCCTTTAATAATTAACTTTCAAAACAATGGGAAAAATCTTATACACAATGAAAAAAATGATAAATCACATAATTCCAAATTAAACTCTAAATATCTCTAGCAACCCAAACCTTATTTTAAATTAATAACAATGGCCTGCAATGGAGTCTTTCCAGAGATATCTTACTTTCAAAGATAGCTATTTGAAGAGAAGGGAGATTGTTTTCATGTCTTAGGGGACTATACTTGACAAGATTAACTTTTGTTCTGTTCTTGAAAGGAAATATTTTAGCACCTAGCTAGCCTTCCAGAATGCACCCTCAGGATTAGTCAGTACAAAGTTAAGCATTAACTGTTAACAGAGTCCAACTCTATGACTATTCCTACTGTGTAAATTTAGAAATACATACATGAATTTGTTGGCCCAAAACACGCATTTGGAAATGATCAAATACTGTCCAGTGGTAACCTTCCTCTCATGTGGGAAGAAAAATGTCACAAAACTGCAATGATTACTGCCAATAGAAGAGAGGAACTCTGAATCTCACTATATTTATTTATTGTAAGCATTTTTATACTTCAATATTTCTAGGACATACTTCAGTGATATTCCCAGGAAAGGGTTGCAAAAATAACAAGTTAAAATGAAAGCATGCACACACACAAAAAAACAAAAACAAAAAACCAATCTTCCCCAAAGCTAGGAATTTTAATAGTGGCATAATATAACCAGTGAAATAAACATTGTATTTTAAAAATTCAGGAAAATAAAGAGTCTTGTCACTGCAAAGGCAATGAATTAGTCAACAAGCAAATGTATTTAGGGAGAACATTCCAGAAGTAGGCATCATCAATAAGAAGGCTCTTTTTTAAAGGAGATAGTGAAAGGAGACAGTTCGTTGAAGGCCAGAGGTAATAATGACATGAAAGCTGGATTTACACATCTGCATGTATGTGACACATCTGTCACAATGCAGATTGATTATACATATGGAGTCCTGTTGCCAAAATTGTGATGATCAGAAATGAATGTGAATATACATGTCCCAGGATAATGTTGCAAGAGTTGATCTGGATCAGTCACCAAGACTCCTGCTGGAGGAGCCCATCTTCAAGAACTTCTCTCTAGCTAGAAAATGAGCTCCAGCACGAGTCCAAAAGCTCGGAAGACAAAACCCCTGGTCCCAGTTGATCCTGAAAACCTGAAGATGTTATCTACTTTGGGTAATGAAACATTTGCAAGAAACCAACCAAGCTCCAAGAGTACCAAGGACCCCTCTTTTCAAACAGCTGACTATATATAATGCATGACCTCACCCCCCCATTGCAAGATTTGATAGAAGATTCCTGATAGAAAATCTACTGGGCATTCTTACTTGCGCACCTACCAGATCTTCAACAGAGTACTTTTATTATTTGGAAAAACAAGCCTTGGCTTGAGTAAACACAGTTATGCCCATGGCAGTTCCAACTGCTGGTGGAATACATTTCAAGGATCTGCACGAATACAGCCATCTTGCTGCCTGAGAAGAAAGCCTACATTCTGCACATGCCCAGAAACCCTGCAAAGCAGTTATGTTTACTGCATACAAAGCATGCACCGTACATATTTCTAATTCTACGCGTCCGGTCCTGCTATCTGGTATCCTTTTTCTGAATTACTGGGGCAAAACACCTTGCGGTTTGCCTTGCCCTCTGCAGAGAAACTATAGAGTGCTTCATGCCATCTTGCTGCACCCCCTCCCCGAGCCTTCCAAGAAGCCCTGCAAAGATCAAGACCTTTTTTTTTTCCTGCATGGCTTCACCAGAAATGCATTCTACGTACTGTATTCCCAAATCTTGGGCGTCTGTAATTTATTGCACAGAATGGCATTCTGCACATGCGTAGCAAGATCATGTTCGATGGAAGGTGGGGGCGGGGAGAGGGGAAGATCAGGAGAAAGAAACCCCCGAGACCCAGTTGTGCCTACCTTGCTGTCTACGTAGAAATACACTCTGCCCATTCCCAGAGGTACTCTTCGCCCGTTGCCACTTTTTAAAGGGCCCTCCCGGCCTTTCAATCTCCCCGTCCAGAATTCAGTCTAGCTGGGTGTTTGGGGGCGGCGCCCCGCTGGCAACGTTTTGTCCAATGAAAACAGAGGGAGGGCGGGGCCGGGGCGGGGCTGAACGGGCTCCTCCGTTTCCAAGAGAAACCCCCGCCCTCCCTCGAACGTAAAGCACGCAAAAAATGCTAGCGAGGTCGCGCGTCACGTGATCCTTAGCCCAACCCGGAAGTGAGCGTGCTGCCCTGGGTGTTTGGTCGGAGTTAACACTCGGTGGTGGGTTTGAGAAGAAGGGAAACTTTTTTTCGGTCTCCCTCCCTCCTCGCCCCCCCCCCCCGCTCCCGTCTGTGGATCCCCTTTAAAGCGTCCGACATGTAATCCGTTGGCTGGTTCAGTCCTTCACAGGTAGGGATAATAGGCGTGGTTATACCTGCTCTCGGGGCAAGGACACCTACTTGCGCGTACACACACACACACACACACACACACACACACACACGCACGCACAAACTGGTAATACTTGGGTAGAGTAAACTACAATTCCCAACCATCCCAAGAGGATGGGTGCAAATTGGATTATACTTCCCACTCTCGTGCACAAGCGCCGGCTAGAGGTTGCACCTACTGGTGGGAGCTGGGAGGTCTGGTGTCCCATGGCTCTGGGGCAGCGTTTCTCAAGCTCAGCAAGTTGAGGGTAAGTGGACTTCCAACTCCATGCTTGGCTGGGGAATTCTGGGAGTGGAAGTCCGCCCATCATCGACTTGGCTAAAGTTGAGACATGCTGCCCTTAAAAAAAAGTTTGGGATTATGGTCGGAATCATGTATTGCAAGAAGGGAGATTTTGATTGAATATCGCAAAGACTCCTGAAGAATAAAAATCAAGAGTTGCTGGGAGTTGGGTGGCGTTTAATAAATGTAGTTTAACAGATTGTTAATCTGTTGGAAGGGACCTTGTAGGTCATCTAGTCCAACCCCCCACCCACCCAGCAGACCCTACACTATTTCTGACAGATGGTAGTCTGTCTTCTTGAAGGCTTCCAGTGATACTCCCACAACTTCAGTTGTGTTTGAGAGAAGGTCTTCTAAATCCACTGACAGCCTTGTGCCTTTGTCTGTAAGATATGGTTAAATCTGCTGCAAAGCTACCCCATTTGGCGAATATCATAATTCAGTGTATTATATGAACCCAGGAAATGGATTTGCTTAGTAACCCAGTCAAGTAGCTTTTCGGTAAATTATGGTTGGTCAAACAGACAGCTACATGTTCAGACTGGATTTGGCATCTTGGTCTGCCTGTCGAGTATTTCCCAAGGACCTGGGATAGGCAGGTGTGGATGTTTGATGGTGTTACAGATATTATTGCAGCATATAAGCTGTTCCGAGTAAAGCTGCCTTTTGCAATTGACTGATGAGGAATGTATCAATAGTGATGATAGCAATAGTAATTGCACTTAGATTTATATCCTACTTCATAGTGCTTTGCAGCCCACTCTAAGATGAATCAGCGTATTGTCCCCAGCAATCCAGTTGTTTTGGGATTACACCCAAGGCACCTATGACTATTGGTATTAACTTGGCAATGGTATCAATGACCCAGTCAGAAGGTGGGCTGGCCTTCATTGGATGCATGAAGGCCCGGACTAAGTACTTACAACTATTCATTTAGCAACCATTCAAAGTTACAATGTCACTGAAAAAAGTGACTTATGACTGGTCCTCGCACTTACAAAGTTCGCAGCATCCCCAATCATATAAATTTAAGCTCTTGGCAACCAGCATGTATTTATGACAGTTATAAGCATCTTGGAGTCATTGATTGCCGTTTGCAATCTTTCCAGCTGGCTTCCAACAACCAAAGCCATTGTTAAGTGGATTCACTTAACAACTACATGTTTCGCTTAACAGCTGCAGTGATTCATCTAACCACTGTGGCAAAATAGATTGTAAAATTAGGCACAACTTATTTGACTGCCTTGCTTAACAACAGAAATTCCAGTCCCAATTATGGTTGTAAGTCATAGCTATCTGCTATGGATGTTTTCATTTGGATTCCTGTACTAAGGGACTTGGTAGCCAAATTGATTCCTTTGAGTTCTGGGATTCTAAGAATGTCACTGTTTTTCCCTTGTCCCAGAACACAGGCCAGGCAACAGTTTAGAACTGGAAGCTACCTGGAGTCGCTTGGTTGAGTTGGATGGCTATAGAAATTGGATAAATAAATGAATAAGCAAACAAATAATAGCTTTACATTGCAGAAAGCAGGACTCCAAATGAATCTTGGGGAAACCTTATGAATAGGAAGAACAGTTCAACAGTGGGGCCATTTACCCAGAGGTGTTCTGGCCACCCTTTCACTGAGGTATTGAAACAAAGGCTTGGACAGTCATGTATTGTGGATGCTTTAATGGGGGTGGGTTGTTGTTTTTTCCTGTTCTAAACAGAGGAATGGTCTTTAAAAGGGCAGCTTGGGGAGACAGAAAATATTTCAAAGATCCCATGTTCTAACTGATTGTGGCAAATGAGCTTCCTACTCGCCACAGGATCAAAATCTCATGGGTGTGGTGGGCCAGTCTGGACAGCAGCGTTTGCTTTTCTTACCCTTGGACACAAGAGGTGGGGGACAAGCATGCACACTTTTCCCACTGACATTTTCCTCATAAGGTCCTACATTTATTTATGGCATGGAAAAAAAAAAGAGCTCTTGAAGAGTCGGTGATTAAGCCAGTATCTGGGAAAAGGCTTGTCAACTCTGCCATCTAAGCTTGCTGTCATCCTGCCATGAATAGAGGAAGGGGGCAGGGGAAGCTAAGAAAGTTGTGCAGGGTGATGTGAGGAGGAGTGTAAGGTGGGGAGGGAGGACATCGACAGGAACCAGAGGTGCCAAGCGGCCCACCTTCCACTGCCTCAAGGACACCTGACCTGGAAACGAATGTGAAGCCTCTCTGAGGTGCACCTATTAAAGCAGTTCCCAAAACATCAGGCCGGGATGCCATAGTGCACTGATGGACCGGTCAGGGGGAAGGACCACAAAACGTTGTATCTTTGCAAAGGGATGCTCAGATCTTGCCTTGTTTTTGCTGCAACCACTAATCCTCAGTAAACAAACAAAAAAAAACTCTATCACTTCATCCCAATGTAGTCGAGGGTCTTTCTTTCCTAGGGATCTAGTTGGGGCAGGCCTGGCAGAGCTTTTTCTGCTTCCCCTTTCGCACCACTGTATAATTTATGTTCCTCACTGGTATTATTTTCTTTGAAGGATGCTTTGTTTCTTTCTTATAGATAATATAAAGCTTTTTTTTTTTTTCTTCCTCAAGTCACGAGAGGTTGTATCACCTCTCTAAACCCAGAGGATGTTTTCTTACTCATCGTGTCTCTTTCTTCCCACTCTGGTGTTTGGCAGATTTCAGTGTCTGTCTAAGATGGAACCTACTGCCTCGGGTGTCTTCTGCAGCCGTGTGCTCAGCATGGTGAACTCCGAAGATGTAAATGCTATCATCTTGGCTCAGAAGAACATGTGAGTGCTATGCATTTTTTCACAGCATTGTATTACTTTGATTCGAGCAAACTTCCCTGTCTTGTCTCTCTCTCTCCTTTTGCCAGCTGATAATTTACTTCTTGCATCACTTATTCTTTTCTCTTGATTTTTTTTAAATCTAGAGCAGGGCTATCAAACTCGTCGTCCACGGGCTAATTGCATCACACGCTGGCCATGCCCACACCCGGTTTAGCAAAGGGTGGGGGGAAAGTCGCGATATGTCACGTGACACCACCATGATGATGTGAGTTTGACACCCCTGGTCTAGAGGGAAAGGAGCAGTGGTGGTATTCTACCGGTTCAGCCCGGCTCTCCAGAGCCGGTAGCGCCTATGAGCAGCGGATACCAAACCAGTTGTCTCTGACACTCTTCCGTTGGACCCACCTGCCTGCCCGGGCTCCCATAATAGCCTTTATTTCCTGCTTTTGAAGCACAGCAGAGTGCTGCGCAGCAGCTGCTGAAGCGACAGGGAGAGTGCAGGATTGCAGGAGGTGAGTCGGAAAGCCTCGGCACCTGGGCAAAGTGCGTGTTTGGTGCGCGTGCACAAAGCGCACCCACCAAGCCACACCCACAAAACTGGTGGTAAACACTTTTTTGAAATGCACCACTGGAAAGGAGGCTAAGACATACTGGGTATGTCTTTTCCTTCGTTTTCTATCCTGCCAGTTATCAAACCAGTAGGTACTCACCTTACTGAAAACCTTTTAAAAACAAACCCACATTCCAATCTCATATACTGTATAAGCAACTCAGTCCATAGATCCCACAAGGAAGGGGAACCATTTGAAGGATGTGTTCACTGGAAAAACTGCTTGGGGCTGCTTGCCACGCCCTAGGAAGCCACAGCATGATGCAAATACTGTAAGAATGCCATCCAGTGTGGAAGGCAGGAAGTGAAAAAAGCAGGAAGTGAGCTGGCAAAAGCACATCCCTTGGCACTTTCCCATTGGACAAAACCATTGGGAAGCATTGCAAAAGACTTGAAGAATGGCTTGCCTGCATTCTCCAAACAGAGGTGGTCCTCGAGTTACAACCATTTGTTTAGCAACCATTTAAAGTCACAACAGCGCTGAGAACAGTGACTTACAGCCGTTTTTCACACTTACAACTGTTGCAACAAACCCATGGGATTAAAATTGGGATGCTTGACCACTGACTCATATTTATGGTGGTTGCAGTGTCCCAGGGTCATGCGATCACCTTATGTGATTTTCTGAGAAGTAAAGTCAATGAGGAAGCCAGATTCACTTAAGAACCATGTTAGTAACTTAAAAACTACAGTGATT